TCGAACGAGTTTTACCATCCTGTTGCTTTTCTCATTAACAGGTCTTTTGACAAATATTGTTTTTTTACATTTGTATGAGTCATGTATTTAACTTTTTGAAAAGCGTACTTTGACAAAATAGACAATACTAAATACACCTATAAAATAAGATGCCTTATTCAGTCAATGGGGCTAGGGAGAAGATAAAATTTTATATTTAATTTCTTCAGACTGGCCCTTCTCACAATACATGTTTCATGAAGACTTGAGGAGGTTAATGTCCAAATGAAGTGATCAGCAACTTACTTTTAATTCCTATTCAGTAAAATAAACAAACTTTCTTTGTGCCCTAGAGGAGTGAGCGAAGCCTGGTCTCAACGTGCTACTTGTGCAAGGGGGACCACTTGTCCTGTGTTTGGCTTCCCTGTATGACAACGTAACGATCTTGAATGGAATAAGCAGAACAAAGAGTCCTGAGGCCGCGTTTCATTAACAACAGAGTAATAGCCATTTTGAACTTTCAGACAGTCGCAGAAACCTAGACAAAAAGCTTACATTTGCAAAATTTACCAATATTTGAATGACATTGATTTCTACTTGTGTTAAGAAAAATAATTTAAAAATATTGTCAACAGCACGGATGCTCGAGGCCGCGAGCACGCGCGTTTGCCATCCTGGCACAGAGTTGGCAAGCGCGGAGGAGAGGTGGATGTCGTGCTCCCTTCGATAGCTCAGTTGGTAGAGCGGAGGACTGTAGCGGAGGCGTCCCAGGCATCCTTAGGTCGCTGGTTCGAATCCGGCTCGAAGGAGCCCGTCTTTTGTGTCGTTTTTCATCCCCATCCTCACACAGGTCTGTCTCAGTCTTCTTGTGACCTCGATGCGCATGTATTTTGGGCTGTCCTCGTTGTGCAGCGAATCTGTTTTGAAATCTTTTTTCTCCGTAACCCTGACTGATGTGCGCGACCACACGGCAACCTCTCAGCTCACAGAGTCGGTGTCGCAATCAGGCAACACGGGTTCCCCGGAGGACACAGGAAACAGCGGAAATGATCCAGGAGCGTCATCGCGTGGACACTGTGCGCCCTGCACACGGCGGCTTTGACAGCCAGTGTGGCGGGGAGGAAGGCTAGTCGGCGCCTGCAGGAAATAGTGGGCTGCAGAGCACGAATGAGCTGGCGCCTCCCATCCATGCAGCTGTGCCTAATGTGGCCACCACATTGGACGCTCCGCCCGTGGGCCAAAGCGATAGGGTGCCGTGTTGGACCTGGCAATGCCTTCTTCAGCATATCTGCCAAGTACAAACACCAATTCGCCTTTACCTGGGAAGGGCAATGGTGGACCTTCCAAGTGCTCCCTCAAGGCTCTTTGCACAGCCCCACCACGTGCCATGGGACCGGTCACTGTTTTCCTCCCGACTTCTGTGATATGGACTCGTTACACTGATGACATATTGTTAACCTGTGAAAACTTGTCTGTGCTGCAGAAAACCTTGCACAAAATGTGAAAGAGGTACAGGCTTTTGTGGGGATTCTGGGGTACTGCTGAACATTCATATCCCATTTAGGACAATGTCTCCGCCCCTTATATGGCTTTAGTGAAAAAAGGGCACGTCTGGGACTGGGGAATAGAACAATTGGCCACTTTTGAAAAAGCAAAAACAACTGGTCAGATTAAAGTTCTCGGAATCTCCCAGGTGGGGCTGCCATTTGAATGAGACATTTCAGTACCCCAAGAGGCATGGGCGGGGCATTATGGCAAAAACAGCATAGGGAGTGAGTGACTCTTGGATGTTGGTCCCAGCTGTGGAAGGGGCAGAGATCAGATACACCTGGACAGTGTCTACGGCACCATTTACGAGGGGGAGAAGGTGGTCTGGCATAGGGCCCTCCTCTTTGCCTCCTCACACCAGAACATGACCTCCCCCAGCCAACATGTATGGTTTAGACAACCTGGCCAGGTTCCCAAGGCTCCAGTTACATCAACATGTAAGGATAAGGCTCCAAGTTTCAGTCCCATAGGAAAAGGTCTCCCCTGATTCGAGTCCCTAATACATTTTTGTCTTCCCAACCTTAAACTTCTGCTGTCCTTGTGGCATCCAGTTACGGTGGGGGGGGGGGGGAGAGGGGAGGGACCTGTGCCACCATCCAAACTGAAGTTTGTGTTTCCACACCAGATGAGTCTGCCAATATCTCCTCTTTACTGGTACACAGAAAAGCCCAAGTGAATGCTTTAGGCGACTTGACCCCAAACCTAAGCGACCTATTAACACACTGGTTTGGGTCTTGGGGGTGTGGTGGAAAGCATTGTTACCAATACTTGGATGGTTTTAATCTGTCTCTTTCCTTGAATGTGCCTATCTTGTTGCTGTGGACTGTGTCTCCAGTGCAGCCAACTGGTGACCAAGCGAGCTACCTCCCTGCTAATGAAGTCCCCTTGCTCACCACTCAGGACACCATGAGGAAGACAGGGGTGCGTGAGATTTTAAGAGCCCGTCATGAGGGGTGGAATGTGGAGGACAGACTGTTCCAAGGTGTGACAGCTGCCTTACCCATGAGCTGGACCCGGGCCAGAGGGGAGATTGCTTACTGCACCCCTCTCTTGGAGACTATCCTGATGTTCCTCCTGACATACACCAGCACTCTCCCCTACCTCCTGGTACGTGTTGGGTCTGGTTGTCCTGAGCCAGTCAACCATGTCAACTAATTTCTGTACCTGGTAGCAGTCACATACTACCCGTGACCAATCCCCTTGCCCTGTATAATTTTCTGGTGCCTGCCAAGCGACACAGGGAGCCAGTTCGTCATGCAGCTGCCTCATATGTGAATCTCCCTTAATAAGCGATTAATGGCTAGATGGAGTGGCAGCCTCTTTCTTGGGTCTTTCCCTGCCTTCCATTTTGGGAGGTAGATTTTCAGACCCAGGACCTTGGTCAACACCCTGTTTTTCTTTTTTCTTAAAAAGATTTTATTGGGGAATTGGGGGAGGGGAACAGTGCTGGGGAATTGGGGAAGGGGAACAGACAAGTTGCTGTCGTTTTGCTCTTCAGTCTAGTTGTGGAGGACGTCGCTTCACTGGCCCACGTTGGTATTATCATTGCGCTCTTCCCAGGTGAGGCAGATCCGTCGCCGGCCACTGGACGGCTGCTCACGAAAGAGCACACCAGCTACCGGCCAGCCCCACTGCAGCCTACACCATCGCTGGTGACTCACAGCAGCCCAGCTCCAGGTCGAGCTGTTGTTCACTATCTTAGCTCTAGAGGGCACAGCGTCACTGGCCCTCATGTGGGATCCGAACCAGGGCCCTGATGCTCAGAACTGGCTTCTCAAGCCAACTCCTAACCAATGCACCACTCAGCCAGCCCAACACCCTGTTTTTCTTTCTCCTTCTTTCCATCAAATTTAATTCATCCATGTGCTTCTATTAGGATGAACTCCTCAATTTAAGAACTTGACTTAATAAATGGCAACTGAGTACCTCCAAGAAGAGGGACCCATCTAGGCACGTAGCCCAAGTTAATAAATCACATGAGGATCGCTGTCCTCGAGTGAATTATCTTTTTGGAGCAGAAAAGATGTCATACACTTAAAAGATAAATTGTGCAATACGTCAGAAAGCAGTAAATGACATAGGAAAAACGAGTAAGTAGAGGAGGCAAGGGCCATTGGAGTAAGGGTTCGGTGAAGGATTAAATGGGATACTCCGGGAAGAGCTAATTTTTTGGTATGGTTTAAAGATGTTTTTACACTATTCATCTTTATTTTTGCTTATAAATCCCGCTCCATCTCGTTAATAGGTTTATTTTATTATGCCACTGATGGTAGTGTAACAGTATAAAACTCTTTTTTTTTTTCACATAAAGGGACTTGAGTCTCAAGAGAGATTATGCCAAAATGGGGTAAAAGGAACCAAATCAGTGGTTCTGCCTGTATTTGGGGGCAGGACTCCTTGGGACTGAAACAATGTATCACCTGCAAAAATGGACATTTTTAATTGTTAGGAATAAAAATTGAGGCCTTTTTGTTTATTCTGAGGGCAATAGGTAGGCCTTAAAGTTGCTCACCAATGTGGTGACCCACTGAGATTTGTATTTCAAGAAGGTTACACCAGTGGCACTACGACAGAGGGAAATAGCGTTTTACAGGGGTATGGGAAAGGATTTTGGGGAGTTGGGGGACAAGGCAGAAGTTATCTAAAAGGTCACATGAGAAATGGTGGAAGGTAGGATTGACATATTGTCTGACAGCAGGCATGGAGACATTCAGGATTTCTAACGAGTGATCATCACCCTCCACTGCATAGCAGATGCTGCTGGTCTGAGTTCAGGGACTATTCCAGCTTCCCAAGTAGAGGCTGCCAAAAAGCAAACGCCTTTCTTGGCAAGGCAAGAACAGGAATCGTGAATCATGAATCCATATTTGGATGCCAAACGAACTGGCAATTTACTTCGATCAAACAAGTTAGTCCATGTAACGATCTTATAAATACTCACACACACATTCTACATTTTAAAAATGCTACTTGTTTATATTTATCCCCTTGGGCATTAGATCCCATCCCACTCTCAAGGAGACACTCCAGCTGTTGTCCTGGTTCTCACCGGAGTCAAGACCAAGTATCTGTAACATAAATATGAAATGAATAATGTGTCAGTACAACTGTGTGATAGGTGCCAAATAAGTTTTTAAAAGAAATCATTGTCCCATACTTACATTTTTACGACATCTTATTCACAAAATCAAATTCAAAGTGAATATTTTAAACTAAAAGTTCACAACTGAAATTTTCAAATTAAACCTAATTAAAATTTCAAAATGTATTATTTGCAAAGTTAAACTACATTTTCAAAACTGAAATTTAAACATATTCAAAACTCTTTCAGTTAAACTTTTTAAATTTTAAAATAAGTGTTAGGTCCTTGTTCGTTAATAAAGACCTTACAGACAGAGTTTTCGTTCCAAAGGCTTTATTGAGCCAAGCCTGGCATCCGTCTCACTCTGCAAGAGAACGGCCCCTTGGTCTTGGCGGTGAACCTTTTAAAGGCTTTTTTCTTATGCAAAAGCAGATTACAGAAGCCCAAGAAGCTGTTAACCTAACCGTTATTGTAAACTTTTCCATTGCTGCAAAACTTGCAAATAAGCAGTTACTGTGAGCTCTAATCGCATCCTGTTATTGAAACTGGGTTAGGATATTTTTCTATTGCAGGTGTTGCTTGGCTAAAAACATGACTCCTTCCTTGAAACAGGTTTTGAACAGGAAAACATATATTTTTTTATAATGGGGTCGGGAGTGGGGGTGTTCCAGGGACAAAGTGGGGTCCGGAGGGCAGGTCCTCACATAAGTACAATATCAAAACTCAAATACATTTTAAGAAATGAAATTTAAGTAAACTTTAAAAGGTCACAACTTGGGTACCTTGGGTAAAATGCTATTTTGGTCCTAGAACACACAAAAACCTTCCCCCATTCCCAAAATTTCCGGAAGACTCTGGCGCAAACTCCCTTTTTGCGTCTCACAAGGCGTTCTGGAGGGTGTCACATTGGAGATCGGCCTCTTCCGGTCTGCCTGTCCAGCTCGGAGGTCAGACTAGTGCCACTTTCCTGAGCCTCTGATCTGCTCTCCGGGTTTGAATCTCCCGCGGACCTGGGACTCACTTCCGACCTCTGCACTCATTCTGGACCCACCCGCGCCGCCCAATCTAGTCCTTTCATTGGTCAGCACGGCACGGTGCTTTACGGCTGTCGTGCTTCACGTAGGCCGTAAGCATGGAGGCAAGCATGGAGGCAGAAGAGTCGGAAAAGGAAGCCGCAGAGCAGGAGCCTCTGGAAGGGAGAGACCGGGAACCAGAGGCGGAGGAGGAGCAGGAGGAATCCGAAGAGGCGGCTGATGACGCTAAGAAGCGGGTGGTGCCAGGCATTGTGTACCTGGGCCACATCCCGCCCCGCTTTCGGCCTCTGCACGTCCGGAACCTTCTCAGCGCTTATGGCGAGGTTGGGCGCGTCTTTTTCCAGCCGGAAGGTAAGTGCGCGGGTCCGAGGCGCTGAGGAGTAGTTAAGTCGGTGGTAGGCAGGCCTGCTAGGGCCGGGGTGTGGCGGTGGCGTGGTAGGTCTGTTCGCGGAGAGCTAACGTGTGGATTTTAACCCCGCCTCCTGCCCCTCCTCTTTGCTGACCTGAATTGACCAGTTTGTTACGTGAGTGCAGCCTGAGTCAAATTCTCAGCGGCTTTTCACAAAGCTGAAGACGTGCCTCCGATGGCGGCCCAGGTGCAGAGGCAGCATGTGACCGGCCGCCCCTAACTCCCACACGGGCACTAACTGGAATTGGGGTTGGCCCGTGCGGGTTCTAAATACGGTGCTCAGGGCTGACGTGATTAAGGAGTGTTAACCTAAAAATGAAAGGCATTTGAAAGAGAGGCAACAAGCATTTGCTATTCGGGAAGCACTGACCCGAGCAGAAGTTCATATAGTGTCCTGATGAGACAAAGACACGTGGCATTTATGAGAACGGGAAGGGGAACGATTCCATCCGCAGACGGAAGGCGTGGCTCTTGATGTCGAAAAGCTAACATAGTGACGCTAATTCTAAACAGTGTTTTTACTTTTCAGTCCGGTGGTAACAATATCGGCTTCCTTGTTATTCTTTGCAAACAGTTGTTGGGGGCACAGTGTTGCCTTAGGCTTGGTCCAGAGGTGACTTTGCCCTGTTTTGACATCTCGGAGAGGTTGGAAGTGTAAGACGCGCTGGGCCGTTTTCTGTGGGATGGCAGCTCCGGCTCCGTTTTAAAGTGGCTCCGGCCCTATTTTCACACGAGGTGACATTGAGGAAAGGACCGAATTAGACACGGGGAGAAAGGGCGGACTTGGCAGTTGTCCCCTCCCTGGCGAAGACCTTGCGGCGGAACCCCGGCCCGGGTAGGGTGGCTTTCCAGAGCTCGGTGCGTGGGTCCTGCGTCCGTCTCCCTGACTGCCATTCTGTCTTGGGCGCACAGACGGTTTCGTGAGGCGCAAGAAGAAGGCAGCAGCCGCCTCGGCCACGGGAGGAAAAAAGCGGGCCAAGTACAGCAAGGACTACACCGAGGGCTGGGTGGAGTTCCGGGACAAGCGGGTAGCCAAGCGGGTGGCGGCCAGTCTGCACAGCACACCCATGGGCGCCCGCAGGCGCAGCCCCTTCCGTTACGACCTGTGGAACCTCAAGGTAAGGGGGTGGATGTGTGGGCGCCTGTCCTCTCCCCGCCTTCCCAGCCCCAGCCCGGGCGCCTCTGGGGCCTTGTGTTGGCCCTGCCCCCTCTACTTTCCCTCCTCTCCCGGCCCTACCCAGGTCTTTTCTTGTTTTCCTGCCTGCAGTACCTGCACCGATTCACCTGGTCCCACCTCAGTGAGCATCTTGCTTTTGAGCGCCAGGTGCGCAGGCAGCGCCTGAGGGCCGAGGTTGCCCAGGCCAAGCGTGAAACTGACTTCTACCTTCGAAGTGTGGAGCGCGGGAAGCGCTTCCTTGCTGCTGACGGGGACGCCACCCGCCCGAATGGCTCCTGGGCCTTTGCCCAGCGTCCTACAGAGCAGGAGCTGAGGGCCCGGAAGGCAGCTCGGCCAGGGGGTCGTGAACGGGCTCGCCTGGCCAACGCCCAGGACCAGGCGCGCTCCAACCGAGGGCTCCTTGCCAAGATTTTTGGGGCCCCACCACCCGCAGAGAGCATGGAGGGTCCCTTACTGGTCAGGGACCCTTGAGGCACAGGGAGGCCGCAGCCACCTCCTAGCCCAGCCCAGCGTTCTACCTGCTGACTACGACCCAGGCAGACATTCTGCTGTATTTCTCAGACCAGGAGTCTCTGGTGAGCGCCCAGGCATAGTTTTGTGGGCCTCTCCCCCTCTCCAACCTGTGTGCTTGCCTGGCTGAAACACCTAATTCATACTAGCACGATTCTGACTATTGCAGGTGTCTGTTTTTTCTTGTTTCCTGGCTGCTTACCTCCTGCCCATCAGGGCCTCTAAGAATCGCACTTCCCAACCTCAAGAAGAGTCTTACATGGAGTTAGTGTAATGGTTAGTGCAGGCAGCTGTTTACCAACCACAGGGACCGGCAGCAGTGACATCCTGTTACCAGAGACTAACAGGGATGGTGGTTCATGGGGCGGGACTGGCTTGGGAGCCACTTTCTAAATGTATTTATAGAAAAGCAAAAATAGGGCCGGCCGAGTGGCGCGATGGTTAAGAATTGGCTTTGGATGCCAGAGGGCCCCGGTTTGGATCCCACATATGAGGGCCAGTGACACTGCCCTCCACAGCTAAGATGCTGAACAACAGCTCAACCTGGAGCTGGGCTGCTGTGGGTCGCTGGCGATGGCGTAGGCTGCAGCCCCTGTGGCAGTGGGTTGCCATGGGCTACTGTGTGTAGCCAGCAGCCAGCGTGAGTGGCCAGCAGCCGCAGTGAACGGCCGTCCAGAAGCCTGCGACTGATCTGCCTCGCCTGGGAAGAGCGCAATGATGGTGCCAACTTGGGCCAGTGAAGCAACGTCCTCCACAACTAGACTGAAGAACAAAAGGACAGCAACTTGTCTGTTCCCCTTCCCCCAATTCCCCAGCACTGTTCCCATCCCCCCAATTCCCCAATTAAAAAAAAGAAAAGCAAAAATATATTTAATATGCCTTTGTAATTATGGGGGGAGGTTATTGGATAAGTTCCAACTTCCATCTCCTTGTGTCCCATTCGCTCACCTTCACTCCATCTCCTGGTCTGGTCTCAGAACCTCCCCATTCAACCTGGACCTTTTTCTATTTATCTAATAAATTTCTTAGCCCATTTTATCAGTGTCTAATTCAGCATTGACTAAGTTGCTGTATGAGGATGTGAGGGATGGTTGGTGACCCTTGGCAGTAAGCCTTTAGACCACTAGGAACAGGTAGATCGATGTTTACGAAATAAGTATACAAAGGTACTGCAGACGTCATGGTGGACGTGTAAGGGGGAGTGGGGCCCCAGCAGGGCATGGCTGCCCTCTGGAAGGAGCGGTGCCCTTAGTGTGGAGTGGATCCCTGACAATCCTCAGAGATGTCAGGTTTCACCAAGTTTTCCAGGCCGTTCCTGAAAAGTGACAGAAGTCTGGAGCCTGCTGAACTACAACTGCAAACAAAGCTCAGGGATGGGGTGTTGAGTTCAAGCCATTGCAGAGGTGTGCAACGCCTGGGAGGTGTGGGTGCATCTGTGTTGGGGCTTAGATGGGGGAGGGTCACAGACAACACGCAGAGCAACCCCTGGCGGCCAAACTCAGCGGATGCCACTAGACCTGAGAACAGGCCACAACTGGTCAAGTCTGCACACAGCCTCAGAGATTCCGAAACTCTGGTCAGTATCCAGACATCGAAGCTGGGGAAGTGGAGTAGTAGAAGGTCACACTTAAAAAATCCTAAACCAATTCATTAGCAAATTTACTATAGTAATATCTACATATATCCAGTATCATAACTGAGTTGGGTTTATCTCAAATAGAATACCAGTACATACATTGGGCTGTATTATCAAATTCAGCAAGAGAAAACAATCACAATAGTTGTAAAAGTTCAACTAAATTTAATACTCTATAATAAAAACCTTTAGCAATTCAATAATAAAAAAGTTTCTTTAACCTAAGAAGGAGCTCCCAGGACATTAGCTGAATGGATTCTGAGAATCCTAAAGCTCTGCACATTTGAAACTCAGTGGGGATATTTATCCCGACACTCAGGTCACAAATGACAGAGTAGGTCTTACCTCCTCCACCCCTTAGACCAGAGGCCCAGAAGAAATGTATGCATTTGGGGGCCAATGTTAAGTAAGTGTTCATTTGTGATTTCCATAATTCCACCCTCCCATTCTCCATCCCCCCCCCCCCCCCGCCCCCCAATCTCAATTTAATTCTTGCAGAGAAAAGCTGGACTGCACAACTGGTGAACTGTCAGGCGCACAGAATGTTGGCTGAGGGCTCTGCTCTTTCCTGCCTGTGTTCACCCACAAACCTCAACCCTGCACATTTACTTCATGGTGAGCAACCCTACAAACCAGTGAGAGGGAAGAGAGTGTTCCCTGAAGCCATGCCTGGACTAACCTGTCGGCCCAGCATGTTCTCTAGAAGGACGTGTTTTTTGGCAGGACCTGTTGTCCTTCACTCGTTATGCTGAAGAGGATACTGAACCCCATCCCCATGCACACCTGCGGTTGCCCTCCCACCACAGGCTGGCTGCTGGCTCGTGTCCTCACACTGACACTTGGCATCTGTGTCAGTGATCTCAGTGTGAGATTCCCAGCCGGGAGGAGCCAAGCTGAGCAGAACTGAGCTGCTCCAGAGGCCAGAGTTCTCCTGGTTTCTTTCTCCTAAACCGGATGTGTTTAGCTCCTTGCTCTGTGATGAATGAGGGTACTGGACTCCCCACAGGTCACGCAGTGGGGAGGCTCCCACAAGACCCACTTTCCCGAGCCAGCGCAGACTGCACTCCTTCGGGTGCCATTCTCTCCGCCTTAGCATCAGAATCTCCTGGAACTCTACAGACAGTCGGATAGCTGTCACTGCCACCAGGCCTCGGGGCACACGAATATCTGCCTTTCCCCCCCAGCTTTATCGAGGTATAATCGACACAAAATTGTCAGATATTTTAAGTGTACATCGTGATGATTTGATACATACACATGAAAAGATTCTTGAATATCTGCTTTATTCTAATGCAAATTGTAGGGGAAATGCTTTTTCTTAGTACAGTAGAGACAAAAATGGAGTTTTTCAGAACAAATGTTTATGGAAGAAGGGAAAACAAGCATTAAAGCATAGAAATACATTGGCTGAATACAAGTGTCTCGTTTGGTCTGAAATCTTGGCAGTTACTCTAACTACTTACCTGAGGGAGACGTAGGTTGGCACTGTCTTGGGAGAACCTCCATCCATCCCAGGAGTCACTTTCTAGTTTTGGTCACAGGCTCCCAAGTGGCCCTCCCCACCCTCAGGTTGTGCTATATGAATAATACCAACACCTGTTCCCCAGGGTTAAAAGCCCTCAGACCTGTTTCATACTCCAGTTCTGTTTGAGGGGTGGTCCATCCTTAATTTACTTAAAGATTAGACGGTTACCAGTGAGATTAGCTGAAAGAAGAGTCAAGTTGTCACCCTGCCAATGGTACAGACTCTGTCTCCGTCTGGGGCTGACTAATCACCACCACGCCACACACCCATACTATGTTAGTGTCACACTGATCATAGACTAGCAATAGGCATGATTTTCGCCAAGGAGAAACAAATGCATCTGTGTGTGTTGTCACACTGGGCAACTTTTCATGGCGTAAGAGCTATTTATGAAAGTTTCTAAAGCACATCAGATCGAATAAAGATCCAGGATCTGTTTGATAAAAGAAAAACAAAAAACACCCTAGAACCAGATTCCTTATTATCAGTGTGAGCAGCACCCACTTACCCTAAGGTTGTCAAGGTCACCCGGTCACTGGGACCGGAGCTGAGAGCCACACACACAGCAGCAGTTGGCCACCTGCATGGGCCCAAAGGCCATTGCTCCCTGCAGTTCAGGGGTTTGCAGAGAAAAACCAGAGAACTCAGACTAGCAACAAAATATTTATTTACCAGTCCAGTCCCAAGTACTGCAGGAATCCTAGGAATTGATTATGTTTCTCTTGATCAGAGGGGCAAACCGCTCAGAAGTGCCCATTTCTGGAGTCCTGCATTAGTTCCAGTACTCCTAGGGGATGTTATAGATAATAATTATCCTGCTAAACGAGATAAGTGCTCATCCTTAAAATTCTGATGAATTTGCCAACTACTTCTTGCTTTTAGAATCCCACTTTCCAAGCCAAATAAATACCTTATATTGTGGCGATTACAATCCTTTCCCTGAAAATAAAAAGTATTCCCTCTTTCCTCGGCAGAACTGAAATAAACGAGAGGCATATTATTATGGGACTGAGTTTACTATAAACAGGAGGATAGCGGAGTAAAAAGAACACCAGCTTTGGAGTCAGGGTAGTCAAAATCAAGTACCGCTCCCCGTTGACAATACACCATTACGTGTGACTCTGTGCCTGTGCAGGCCTCACCTTCCTTGCAGTCTTCCCTTAGCCACTCTGCAAGGAGCCGAGGGGAGAGCTTATGGCGGAAAGCGACATGATACATTAAGTCACAAAAACGTGGGTACCAGCAACATCAGAGCAATTATCCTGGAATTTGCATTTCTGAGTTGAAAAGAGATGAACCTCTAAAGCAGAAATTGCAAATACCAGTGATACTCTGAAAGACATTTTAGCGAAAGGGAACTTTTGAGGGCATGTCTCAACTCACTAAGCCAAAAGTTGGGTATTATGCCTCTGTGAGGTCGGTTCTCCAAAGGGAAAACCTGGGGAGTCCTGACCAGGATAACTAACTTCTCCCCAGCTGTTCAGTTCTTTTCACTACCAGCAAGGTCCCCAAGCTACCCTTGCACTAGTCCCCAGTCTAGCCAGCGATAAAAAACCAAGAGGCAAGGCCAGCACTCCTTTCCCCAACAGTAACAATATGCCACACCTTCCAGAACAAGGTTCCAGTCCTTTCCTTTATTGGATTTCCAAATTTGAGAAAGAGAGTAAAGCAATCATTAAGTGGTTCAGATGAAAGAAAAGCATCTTTCCCTGAGTGACCCTCAGGCTACTCAGACCTGTCCTAGCATCTCCAGACCAGGCTTCTGGGGATCGGAACAACTTTCCACACTGACTCTGTGAAGTCACGTCTACCACGTGGGTCACTAGGTGAGCCTGCTGTTCTCACACCTACTGTATGTACACAGTCCACACCTGGATCTCTCACCAGAGCCAAATTCTCTGCAGAGCAGCTTCTTTGGGGCCCGACAGGGCAGAGGTTTCTAGCAAGGCTTTTCTCGGCAGTAGGTATGGGTTTTCCCACTCATGGGAGTTCCCAGGTATACCCAAGGGATGACCACTGACGGCTTTTCTCTTCACAAGGTCTTTCCTCAGACTGGCCTTTTTTGTTGCAAACCCCAAAAGGTTCTCCATCTAACGCCTTTGCCACATTCAAGACAAATAGCTGAAGTTTCACCACTGTGCTGCTCTGCCGGCTAAGAAGGTCCTTAGCTGTGTCAGAGGCCTTTCCTCACATTCCAGGATTTGGACCCGGAAGCTGTGCACGCTGGAGCCCCTGAAAGTCTGTCCTCTGGTGTGAACTCCTCGGGCACTGTGAGAAGGTGCTCACACTCACGGCCCCACAAGGTTCCCTACCTGGTGAATCCTCGGTGGGCGATCAGATACGGCCCGGACTCAAGGATTTCCAGACTCAGCCCTTGTCAGGCTTATGGTCAGAGCGGCTGATGGGCGGTTCTGTTAGGGGTGCTGTCTGGGCAAAGCGCAGGTTTCCTGGTCCCCACTGAGCGCTGAGCTCTGATGAAAGCCTGCCATTTGCCTGCAGTTCTTCACCTTATGAGTTCCCGGACACGCACACACGTTTTGAGGCAGCTACAACTTCTTGTCTGGTCCAGACATTTCTGAGGCTTCCGATGCATGCGGGGGGCTGAGCTCAAGCCCCTTGTCCCCTGCATTGCAGACATACGGTTTTTCGGCGATGTGGACTGTCTGCTGCTGCAGGAGGGCTGAGCTCTGGCGGGAGCCTTTGTCACACACGCTGCACTGGTAATGCAGCTCCTCCGCCTGAGTTCTCACCTTCGGTTGGGCCACAAAGCCCATGCCCAGGAGGAAGCCGCTGTCACATGCAGACCACTGGTGTGCTTTCTCGCCCATGTGAATTCTCTGGTGCACAATGAGGTCTGAGGCACAGCCAAAGCTCTTCTCGTACTCAAGGCATTTAAACGTGTGTGTGTGCGTTGCCTGGTGCCGGATGAGGTTGGCGCTCCGCGTGAAACTGCGCATGCACTCCAGACATTTGTATGGCTTCTCGCCCGTGTGCACTCTCTGGTGGACGATGAGGTCCGACTTCTGGCCAAAGCACTTCTCACAGGCCCCGCACTTGTAGGGCTTCTCCCCCGTGTGAACTCTCTTATGCACGATGAAGGCTGAGCGGTGTCGGTAACTTTTCTCACATTTAGTACATTTGTAGGGTCTTTCGCCAGTATGCGTCCTCTGGTGGCTAATGAGGTCCGATTTCCCACTGAAAGCCTTTTCACACTCCAGACACTTAAATGGTTTCTCACCGGTATGAGTTCGTCGGTGCCTAATGAGGTTTGTACTCCGACTGAAGCATTTATCACACTCACTACACAGATACGGCTTCTCGCCCGTATGGCTTCGCTGGTGGACAAGCAGATCGGAACTCTGACCAAAATTCTTGCCACAAATATCACACGTGTAGAATTTTTTACCTGCGTGTGTTCGCTGGTGCCCTGAAAGGGCTAGGTGGTGCCAGAAGCTCTTGTCACATTTGCTACATTTATAAGGTTTCTCATAATTGTGGACCCTCTGGTGTGAAATAAGATCTGAGCGCTGGATGAAGGTTTTCTCACACATATCACATCGACAAGGTCTCTCCCCAGTGTGGGTTCTCTCACACATAATCAGAGCGAGGTTTTCACAGAAGCTCTGCTCACACTGAAGGCACTGGTGTGTCTGACCATCTATCTGAGTAAAGTCATGCACACGAATAAAAATCTTTTGCCCCTTCTGGGGGCACACATGATATACTTTCCTTTTCTGAGTTCTCTGATCACCTCTCCCTTCTGACGTGTACATCTCTCTGGCTCTCTCCTAGGGAGTTTTCCACTGGTCGTCTTGACCCATCATTTTCTTCATTGTCGTCTTCTTGGTAAGAACGTGAAAGATACACCTGTGTTAGGCCTTTGAGTCATAAGCAGTTCGTCTCTACAAGTTTCCAGCATCATATACATGAATTTCTTACTTGGTATTTCCAACCCTGTGAGACAGAGGAGAAATATTTATATTCCTATAACTAAGAAAAGAATGCTCAAAATTAAAGTCACTGCAGAAAACAGGAATTCTGCAACAGAGTCCGCAAGTGCTCTAGGGCTTTCAGGAGCTAAAATCAGTTAGTTTTCCTCCTTGCTAATATGAAACCAATTGGCAACACACATGGAGAAAGGCCCCGGGAGAACTGTCTCTTTCATGACGCTGGGTGATCTGAAACCCAGGTTCTCCCTCTTCACCAGCTTCGGCTGAGGAGAGAAGACAGGCCAGTAATGAGTGTGCCAGCCCAGCGCCGCCCTTCCCGTTTGCTGCTTTGTTTTTCTCCACTTGTCACCTAGTACACTATCTACGTAATTCACTTACTGTCTGTGGCTAAAATATGGCTGCTCTTTTCTTTCCTTAGTACGCAGAGCAGTGCCAGGCACACAGTTCGTGCTTAATAAGCACCTTCTTGAAATTCTACTTGTGTCCTTATCTGGTGAAGAACAAAGGCTGAATGCCACAGGGTGGGAGCTGCTGCAATGGATGCAGCTTGGGAGAGAGAGGGTACATTTCAAAAGACTGAAGAAACTGGAGCTCACCTAGAATCTAAATGGACGAAAAGCAGCGTTAACTTCCTGGTCCTGACAATCTGATTTCTCAAGGAAGATAGCATTCTGTAAAACATAAGGACGAGAAAAGGATAGTCATATATGAGAGGATTTAGCACCAGATCACTTCACTCAGAACCTGAAAATGAGTAAACTACAGTGTCCTTAAAAAGCCCAGATGGGTTTTCTTATACAATCCCTTAAGTTCAATTCTGAAGAGAATAGTCATAGACCTAAGCCATCCCATACGACTCTGAAGAAAAAGGACAATTAATAATCAGTACACCATCCTCGGGATTATAACAACATTGAAGGAAAGGTCCCCTAGCACTCAACTCCCTGAAAACACTAAGGCGTCATCTCCCCACAGGAACTCAGCTGCCGAGGTAAAGTACAAATGGCAATGCACGGATGTGCTGGGGACCACGCCAGGACCTTCCCTTCGCTGGAGAGCATGCAGTTGTCACCATTTTGGGTCAACATTTACAACAGCCTAAGCTGATTTCTATTTCTGCCATAAACAAGTCAGCAGGCAGTCGATTGTGTGCATAAAAAGTCAGCCAGCCAGACTTATCCACTGATTTCTCCCCTCAGCAGCTTAAATCTGCCTTATCCCAGGTTGCTGAGACTTTCAGTTCCCCCAACAGCCTTTCTGCTTCTGAGGGCACGATTATCAGGCAAAGTAGAGTGCAACCCAAAAGCATGATGAAGGACCCTTTGTAACGTGAAAGCTATAATCACAGCAAAGCTTGTAATAGTTGCAACTATCTATGTACAAGTTACAAAGCAGTCACCTTCATAAAGCAAAAACTACAACAGACACCAAGAAACACAGATGAAAACATTCATCATGAGAAAACATACTATGTCAGTAAAAAGACATAGCAGGTGGATCAAAAATAAGTAACGATGCAGAAGGCCAGAATAATCTAATTAGTAAGTAAATCTTAGGAGTATCTATAGAAACTTACACCCTCATAATAGGGAATAAACTTTCTTCTCAAGCACATGTGAATCACGACACGAAATCTGTCACTTATTAAGTTGTCAAGGAAGCGTCAATAAGTTCCATAAAATAACATAAACAACACTCTGCAGTAAAACTAGAAATTTATTAAAATATATTTTAATACAAAAGCCTCCGTCCTCCACCGCCCCCCTCCACCACCCACCCCCTGCCATAGGGAAAAAACAAACTATTAAAACAATGATACAGGAAAATGAAAAACTAACAATTTCTAAATACTGATAATTGAAAATATTATATTATAATCGGTGGAATAAATTTAAAGCAGTGATCAAAGGAATATTTAGTCTTAAATACTTTATCAAAAAATTTAAATGGACAAACTAAATTCTCAGATCAAAAAGCTTAAAAAGTAAATCAAAATAAATAACAAAATAAAGATAAAAGTGGAAATCAATGAACTAAAGAGAAAAACAATAAATTCTTTTACACTGTTGCTTTTTAAAATTTACAACTTATTCTGGGAATCAGGCCTCATCAATTCCTAAAGGTTTTCTTCATTCTCTTTCACTGCTGCCTAGTTCCCCATTATATGTGGATATACCAAGTTTATTCAACCACTTCCTTACACATGGGCATTTAAGTTGTTTTAAATATTTTCAAGTTACAAACATTGCCACGATGAATAACTTTATGCATGTATATTTTCATATTGGTGGTGGTGTATCTGAGTCAATTCCTAGAAAAGGGAGTGCTGAGTCAGATGTAAATGTGTATCTGTATAGAGAGATGTAGACAGAATCATAAAGCAAACAGTAAAATGTTAACATTTAGTGACTATGGGTAGAGGATGCATGGGCATTCTTTTTGCAACTCTTTTTAAGTCTCGAATTATTTCAAAATTAAAAGGTATTTTATTTTGCTTTTTAAAGAACAGGCAGCTGAGAGTTGGTATACTGTGCTAGTAAAGTGAATGTCCAAGCTCTGGAATCAGATTCTGGTTCAAGTTCCCACTGTACTCCTTTGTAGCTGTGAGAACGTGGGTAAGTTACTTAATGTACCCCAGCTTCCATTCCCCTTTTGATAAAGCAGATAAGATACGATTACGTGCAGCAAGGAGCTGCAGTGAGAACTGGCCACACTGTCAGTAAAGGACTCAGCTCAACACCTGGGTCTCAACAAATGATGGGTTTATTCCCTCTTCACATTCACAAAAACCTTAACATTCACTGAGCCCCACGCTCTGTGCCTGCCTCTTGTGTAAAGCCTTGTACAAAATCCATTTAAAATATTTAACTAAATAAAACAACTCAGCAAATTAATAATATGATTATGTAAAAACTAGAAAAAGTTATGGAAAAATGTTATGAGGAAAAGGAATAAATCACAATTGTAACTAAGATATGCAGGCGTAACTAAGATATACAAGTCTTTTAGATGTCAGCACCTAGAAAATTAAATACAGTCTAGTTGTCCAAACTCAAAATAGACCATAACACTTCCCTAGTTCAAAATACTCAATTGTTTCCTGTCACACTCCGGTAAGTGCAGCGCTGCCACTGTGATACACACCTCCACCTGTCTGCAGCTCACAGGCCACCTCTGAACCTTAGCACTAGGTCCTTCTGCCTAGAATGTTCTTCCTCCGGGTAGTCTGCTCCTCTATTTGATTCAAGTCTCTGACTGAAAATTACTTCCTCAAAGAAGCACATCCTGACAACCTTATCTAAAATAGCCGTGTCCCCTTACCTGCTTGCTTTCTCTCCATAGCACTTGTCCTCACCCAACTTTGTGGGATAGAGTTTACATTTGTTAATTTGTTTCTGTCTCCCACTGGAACATATGGTCCATTAGCATTAGGACTAGTCTTGTTCACTGCAATATCCCTAGCATCTAGAATATTTTAGTTGAGTGAATTAAATATATGAATAAGCAAATATTCATATATTCAAATATTCAAATAAATAAATAAATAAAAATAAGCACAAAAAAAAGGGCCATCATCATCCTTGGGACCCCAGTAGCAATGCAACAGGCTCAGCTAGTAGCCCTGGCTGGTCCATTTCCAAAGCTGAATATATCCTTCAAGTCTTAGTTTCAGGGAGCCCTCCTCTGAGAGGTTTCTCCTGGCTCATCCTAGGAAGAGACTGGTTCTCTCTTCCATGATGAGGGTCAGGAGTGCACAGAATGAGCAGGCAGACAACTAAGTCCAAGCACACCGGCTGAGGACAGAACTTCAAAGCTCAAGGTTATCCTTACAGGTAAAGGATGCATGGGACAAGTATTTAAAGCAGCGGTTCTCAACCTTTCACAGGGGTTGCCTAAGACCATCGAAAAACATATTTTCAATGGTCTTAGGAACCGAGACACCACTCCTCTATCCGTCTCCAGGCCCACATGCAGATACGCCCGCATACGAGTATCCGGCGACCCCTGTGAAAGGGTCATTTGACCCCCAAAGGGGTCGCGACCCACAGGTTGAGAACCACTGAATTATAAAGTCTATAGAGCATTACCTAAAAAATAGATAATTCTTACCCTATCAGGCATTAGGCTAAAGATGATCTTATTTGCCATTGAGTGCATGGGCTATCCAATTTAATCGTCCCAAGAACTCTAAAATATTTGTTAATACCAATGTTTGCATCTTAAGGATAGAAAGCCTGATAGTTAGGGCAGTTAAATCATTACCCGGGATCTCACAGCTAGTTAGCAGTAGAGTTAGGATTTAAATTGCCATCTTCTGACTGCAGCGCCTGCTTAAGCACTGGGAGTACTGCCTCTTTTTGGGCTGCAAATCAATCAAGATCAATTACTACAAGCCTATTGTGAACATGTATGTTTGAAAGACGAATAAAATACACGTAAATTGGTGGGATAGGACTCAGTTTTATCATTCTGCTACCTCAGAAGCTAAACAGGGGTCATTCCCATTTTCCATGTCTCTTCTCCCATTCCATCTTGTCCTCCTCCAGTCCCCCTCTCCTTCCCCCTCCAAAATCCACCACATTAATATAGAAACATACAGCCTGGAATGCCACTTGCCATAGGGACAAGGACTCAGGACTGTCCTCCTTTTGGCTCCAAAAAGCCCATAACTATGCACAACGCAATTACTCCTACAGGAGAAATTAAAAATGTAGATATTTATAATTCTATGGAATTTGTAGTTTTTCTGGAGTTGGACATCTAAGTATTGGTCCCACTCACTCCCCAGTCTGGTCAGCATCCTTCAACCTTATCTTACCTCTTCCCACCTTTGCTTACATTCTGTTTCTCCTGCAAGAAGTACCTGCCATTGGTTCACGACAAAACATCAAGAATCCTTCTAGATGACTTACTTCATAATAAAGCCCTGAGTACTGTTTTACTTGTTTAATTTTTTTCCGTCTGCTAATTGTTTTTTTACTGTATTATCTCAACCTCTAAGGACAAGGACACATTCTTCTACTGTAAACCCCAAGATTCAGTTGATCAGTGTATGGAACGCAAAGTTATATATAACGCAGGTTTCCAAAAATGGTTATGGAATGATTAGACAAACCAGATTCTTCTGCATATAGCTTCGGATGCAACATAACGAATCTCTCATTAAAGACGGGGGGTGGGGGAACTCCATTCAACGTCCTTGGGTTTTTCCCCAATATGAAAGACACATCGCGCAGAAAAGTGCCTGGCAGCGTTTACTATTATTGTCCCCAGGAGCGACTGGACTGAGCTTCTCTTCTTTCAACTTTTCAGTGACCGCCTTTCAGTCCGGGGTCAGGGCGTCCCAGAGCCGCTGGGTAGCGAGGAACGGGGCTGCTCCCACCCGGCTGAGGCCGCGGGGGTCTCTGGTCCCGCCGCGTCCCCCCACCCCCGGCTCCACAGGCCAGGCTCCTCCCAGGCCCCGCGGCCGCGCTCAGCCCGCGGCCACCGGCGCCGCCCCTCGTTCGGCGGCACTTCCGGTTACTCTCGGACACTCGGGTCTGGGCTTCCCGGGGCCGCAGGCTCTGCGGCGGTGGATCCAAGGGCCCACCCTCGGGAAAGGAGGGGAAGCAAACCTGGGGCCGACGAGAGCCAGGAGCAGCTCCGTCCGCGCGGCGCGGCCAGGGGAGCCGGGGCCAGGCCGTCCGGTGGGCGCTCTCAGGACCGAGCAGGCCGGCTGCGCGAGCCCTTTCAGCCCGACTGGAAGCGGCGGCGCGGCCCCGCCCCGCGAGTCACGTGGCCACACCGCCCCGGAGACTGCCTTTCTCCTCCCCCACCTCTGGCCAATCACACCGAGGCTCGGGAAGGGGCGGGGCCCTGGGGCGCATGCTCGCAGGGCCCTGGGCGTTTCTGGGCGGAGCCAGCGGGGTTATGGCGGCCTTCCGAACCGAGCGGAGGGCCCGGATGTAGAAGCAGCAGGCTGTTTGTGTAGCAGCTTGCGATTTCGGTTCTCTTTCTTCAAAGCTGTTAAAAGAGGACGCCAGCCAGGAGTAGAGTCGCAGAGATGGATGCCGCCAACCAAGAGAAAAACACCGGAAGGCTGAGGATGCTATGGAGGATGCTAAAGTGAGAGACAGAACAGGGGCACCTCAGGGTCTGGGCGGTTCTTACTAAATGCCATTCTTGCTAAATGTTAAAACGGAGCGCAGTTATTTTGTAGACGCAACTGGAACCGGATGAGCCTGACCGGAACCCAACGGGTAAGTTTAGCCGACTGCAAAGAAGAACCAACGTGTAGTTAACCAAACAGTGTGTATACGCAACGGCTCAGCCTCCCGCTTCCCGGAGACAGAGCTGTGGATGTGAATCCCGCGTCCTTTACTTGTCACAAGTAAATAAATCTACCTAATGACAACCCTGTCTCGTTCTTGACTAGGACACCCCAAGCGGCCGACCCCTTGAGTACGGTAACAAAAGCTCCGCGGAAGCTGCACTTGAGTCACCAAAGATGTGTCCGGAGGGACGGGTGAAAGGCTGTGAGAGCGCAGTGGTGGCCTGTGTGTGGAGACCGCGGCCGGGGACTGGCAGCAGGAGGTTCCTCGGTCGTTTCCGATTGTGTTTCTGGGCTGGAATCAGCAATGTTTGGGTGTCCTCAGAAATGAGGTTTCCTTCAGAGTGAAATACGCACATGGACTTTCCTCGCTGAATTGTGAAATGAAAGAAAGGGTTTTAAAAGCCCTCAGACATCAAAGGGAAAGGGTGAGGACTAAGAGCATATAGAGGACCAAAGCCTGGGCAAGGTGAGCAAAGGCTTGGATTGTGAGCAAAATACGCCGGGCTAGGGAGCGGTGAGAGGCCATCAGTGGCCGGAACAGTGACACGTTCAAGGGTAATCACACGTCCTAATTCCGCAATTCTTCACCAGGGGAGATGCAGCTTAGTTTCACGTTTGTTTTCAACAAAAACTCAATAAGGCCAACATACTCTATCCAGAGTCTTCTTAATATTTGAAGTAATAAATTTTAATAACTCGACTTTTGAGTTTGTGATCCTTTCGAGGCACTGTTCTAATCGCTTTACATGCATTACCTCATTACCTTGTAACAAAAATTCTATGAGCTGTGTATTACTATTTTCATCTTAGGAGAAGCTGGTGCGCAAAGAGATTAGGTAACTTGCCCAAGATCACACATTGTAGTAACTGGTGAAGCTGAAAAACAGTCTGAAACCAGAGCCTGTGCCTCCAACCACTGTATTTACATGGCTCCCTCAGCAGTGCTGAGCACGTTGCCAAAAAGTATGAGGTCCTTGAATGACGTCATTTTGTTCAGTGATGTTTCCTTATAGCGTTGATGAGATGGTGTGGGAACTTAATCCTTGTTTATATCAATTAGCCTGCGGTAAACTTGGTTTCATTATACAATGTTTCGCTTAAAGTTGCAGAGCCCTTTGATGACATTAAGCAAGAACTTCCTGTACTGGAATAAAAAGAGTGACTTGGTTCTGACCCCTACTGTGCATGTAAGAAGGTCTTTGTCAGTGTGGACTTGAATTCTTCAGCCTTTTCTTTCAAGAGACATTGGCCCAAGCAAAGTGCTCATTTTATTCATTGTTTCACTCACTCAACAAATGTTTATTGAGTACCTTCAGCTCACCTGAGACTATGCTGGGTATTAGGAATTTTAAAGGCAGGTAAGACACAGTCCGGTCCCTGAAATGGTGCACAGCCTAGCTTGGAGCCAGCAGGTGTGTAAGTGGTGTGATGGGGTAGAAGTTACACAAGGTAGTCTGGGGGCTTAGGGAAGGAGCCTGGGCTTGTGGGGCCTGCTTCACTTGCTGTTTGAGTCAGCGATTCCGTCGTCAGATGGCTCTATTGGCTGGTGGGTGATTGGGTATGTGGAACATCTACCAAGTGCCATGAGAGTGTGACCATTGTAGTGTTACTTTGGCAGTGAAAGATGTTTGTCAACCAGAGTGAAGTACGATGGGGTAACCAAGAACATACGTTCTTTTCAGGGTGGTTATGGTAGTTTCAGGGTCCACATGTCAGACTAGAATGATGCGATCATAGCCTGAGCAAGTGTCAACTGTAATGAGGCAGCATTGGTGCCCATGGCTGGGGGCCAGGGGGCCAGTGTCATCCATCTGCCAGACCTGGGCGGGTCCTGCTTTGCAGTTAACATGTCCCAGTTCTTGTGGGACAACTGGGCCTGCTGCAAGAATCACAAGGTTCTACAGTGTCCTTAGTACTGTCGTCCTCCAGGATCAGCCATCAGGCCTTGGCCCATTCTTGCATCTGAGGTTGACGTTCATGTCCTGTCTGTTGCTATATCCAGTGGAAGATTGCTGTGACCCCCTGGGCACAAGCTTGATTGGCATGAAAGTGTCATTTGTGTTTCATTTTAAAAGGTCCTTTGCCATGAGCGTTAACTAAATGATATGTATTTGTGCTTCTCAGGCATCAAGCTGCTGTTACAGTCCTTGTCCCCACATAGGCGATCCCTTAACAGTCCAGCCACTTAGTTGCCATTCTCCTGACTAGATGGCTCTACATTGGCAATGCCCAGGGTCATTGAAAATGTTACAAGGTACCGAGGTAGGGGTGGCCTGAATGGCCATCCTGTCTCTGTCAAAAGATGGCCATTTGCGGGCCAGATGGTGGCTGCAGCTCAGTGAACTCTGTATGCTTTCACAGAACCACCAGTAAACTGTGCCATATGATCAGCAGGGCCCCTGCTAGCCACATGAGGAGCCAAAGTGTCACCTGTGGGTCACATGGCCTCTTTTAGTAAGCTATTTGTTCATGAAGTCTCCTGGTCCTACAGGGTCCTGAATGAGCCAGATCTCGGATGTACCATTTCCATTTGATGATTGAGCTCTGTTGAGCCTGTGCCATTTTATTCCCAAGTAAGAATGGGACATTCAGGTCACAGTATCACATGTGGTGCTCTAGCCCTAAAATATTCCATTTCCATCAGTGCCCAATTGCCAGCAAGGAGCTGCTGTTTAAAAGGGTGTGTCTGGCAGATATCTCAGGCAATGTGTGTGGAAAATCTGAGAGGCCAGACACCTCAGTGCAATTTCCTGCAGCCACAGTCCCAGTCAGCGTGTGGGGGGATTACAGACACCTGTAGTTTTTTTGGCTAGCAGGATCCAAAGATTCCAAAGACATCTTTGGGGCCTGGGCCACGGCTTGTTAAACAGCTTTTAGGGTTTGCTGCTGCAAAGGACCCTATTTGAAATTGGCAACTTTGCAGGTCACCTTGGCTAAGGAGGCCAAGTGGGCTCACCGTGGGGGACATGTTATCTCCAGTACCCAAAGAAGCCTACTAGTGGCTGGGCCTTGTCATCAGGGCCATCAATTTTTGTTTGAATCCAGGAAACTTCTTTGGCTTTGTGGCCAATGGGCCCCTTGGAAATTGCAATGCCCCTGTTGTGTTGGGCCTGGGCTTTATTTGAGTTTACAGCCTGGCTGGCACCAGTCATCATGTCAATGACTTAAGTACAGCACCACAGCCACCTGTTTTTTGCCGGACCCTATTATCAGAATATCAGTGTAACGAGTGACTAGAAACTTCTGTGGGGTCTCAGGCTTATTGAAAGTCGAGTCTACTCACTGGTGGCATATTGCAGGGGAATTGAGGTATTTTTTTGGTACAGTGAAGGTATACATGTGAACACCCATTAGTTCTGACTTTCATGCCACAAGGGAATTGATGAAAAAGGCTTTAGCTAAGCCAGTAACAGCGCTCTGGCCTCTGGCATGGCTTATGCCAGATGTCTGTGATGGCAATGATATCTGGCACCACAGGGGCCAAGGGCAAAACCTTGGCATTCAGCCTGCGATAGGCCACAGCCAGTTTCCATACCCACAGGCCTCTGTGACCAGCCAAACTGGACCATGGAATTCTGACAAAGTAGAAAGGACTGAAGAGCCCCTGCTTGCACCAACTTCTGAATTAACAGGGTAATATCCTTTCCCCACTGGGACTTGGTGTTTTATTTATTTATTTTTATAATATTTTATATTTTTGGATGCTCTGCTATCAGGCCATACATGTTTATATTTTTTATATCTTCCTGATGAATTGACACTTTTATCGTTATATAATGTCCTTTCTTTGTCTCTTGTGACAATTGTTGACTTAAAATCAACTGTGGCCACATCTGCTCTGTTTTGATTACCATTTAGCTGGAATACCTGTTTCCATCCTTTGACATTCATCCCATATGTGTCTTTACATCCAAAGTCAGCCTCTTGTAGATTGCATATAGTTGGGTCTTCTCTATGTTTTTTGATTGGGGAGTTTATCCATTTGTATTTAAAGTAATTGCTGATAGAAAAGGACTCACTATTGCCATTTTGTTAATTGTTTACGTCGTGTGGTTCTTTTGTCCCTCTTTTCCTCTCTTGCTGCCTGCCCGCCTTTGCATTTCATTGAATTTCTGTGTGTGTGTGTGTGTGTGTGTGTGTGTGTGTGTGTGTGATGCTTTGATTTCTTTCTCATTTTCCTCTGTAGGTTTTTCTTTTGTGGTTTCCATGAAGATTATGTAAAACATCTCATACTTATAACAATCTGTCTTAAACTGGTGACAACCTCAAACACATACAAAAATTTTACTCTTACATCTCCCTCCAGTTTATGTTTTCAATGTCACAAATTATATCTTTTTATATGTATCAATTAACTTATCTTATAGTTTTTAAAGCTTTTATCTTCTAAATATCAGAATTAAAAGTGATTTCCATACCATCATTGCAGTGTTATAGGATTCTTTATCAGAAAGATTTATATTTATATTTATTGTTTCTGTCTAGCATCCTTTTATTTCAACTCGAAGGATTCCCTTTAGCATTTGTTGGAAAGCAGGTCTAGTGATAATGAACTCTCTCAGTTTTTGTTTATCTGAAAAGATCTTTTATTTTTCCCTTCATTTGTGAAGGACAGTTTTGCCAGATATATACCTAGCTGGCAGGTTTTTTTCCTTCAACACTTTGAATGTATCATCTCACTCTCTCTGGCCTGTAATGTTGCTGCTGAGAAATCCACTGATAATCTTATGAGAGCTCCCATGTACATGATGGGTTGCTTTTCTCTTGCTGCTTTTAAGATTCTCTCGTCTTTGACTTTTGACATTTTAGTTATATTGTGTCTTGATGTGGGTCAGGTTCATCCTAATTGAAGTCCTTTAAATGTCCATTTCTTTCCTCAGATTTGGTAAGGTAGTGTGTGTGTGTGTGTGTGTGTGTGTGTGTGTGTGTGTGTGTGGTGTGAGTGTGTGTGTGTGAGATATTTCATCAAATAAGCTCTCTGCCCCTTTCTCTTCCTTTTCTCCTCTGGGACTGCCATAATGCATATTTTAGTTTGTTTGATGATGTCTGTCTCTTAAGTCAGACTTTCTTCACTTTTTTAAAATTTTTATTTGCTCCTCTAACTCGATAATTTCAAATAACTTGTGTTTGCATTCACTAGTTCTTTCTTCTACTTGATCAGGTCCAATGTTGAATCCTTCTAGTGAATTTTTTCAATTCAGTTATTTTATTCCTTAGCTCCAGAAAATATATATATTTTTCTATCTCTTTGTTTTATTCTCATTTTGATCATGTATCATTTTCCTGATTGCATTTAGTTGTCTATATTCTCTTAGAGCTAGCTCATTGAGCTTCTTTAAGTTGAGACTTGGTTTCTGGAGATTAATTTTTTTTCTTTGATTGGGTCATTTTAAAAATTTCTTCATATGCTGTTTATTTATTTAGTTAGTTTTGCTGAAATTTGTGCATTTGAAAAAATATCCACTTCTTCAAGTCTTTACAGACTGACTTTGTACAGGGGAAGACTTTCACCAATCAGCTTGGCTAGAGGTTCAGAGGACTTTCAGAGATGTGTCTTCTCTGAATTTGTGCATGTAATTTCCCAGAAGTTGTCAGTTTCTTTTCCCTAATCTCATAATCTCTTGCTCCCTATGGTGTTTATCTCCGGTGCTGCCAAGCTCTCCTTTATTCTCAATGGCCCTAGGCATTCGATATGAAGGCTCCCTGTCAGGGTTCCTAGTCAGGTGAGACAGAGTCCAGTCCCCTGGGCAGCCTCCCTGCAAAAGCCAGAAGATTGGATGTACACCCTATCTTCTCTTTTCTCCCCAAGGAAGAAATGCCAAGTTGGACATCTGCTCCTGACCTCTCTGGGCTCTGCAGCTTGCAGGAAAGTCTGTAGTGGGTGAAAAGTTTGTCTTTGCTTATCCTCTCCAATGCTGCTGCCCGTGGCTTTGCACTTGCTTCAGATACTGCTACCTCTTTACTGGTTTCTGGAGTTCTCATAAAGGCACTGGGACCGTATACTGCTGTCAAGTGGGTATCTGTCAGGGAACAAGGTCCTGTGGCTTCCTATTCTGCCATATGCTGCTCCTTGCCAGCACTACAGGGGGTAGGCTGGGTTGAGGGGGTTGGGGTTTGGGGGGGAACCCAGCTCTTCTCATCTATCAAAAAGCTGTTTGTCTAATTAAAAAAGA